AGAGAGAATTGTGCTACAATTTCCGTAATAACCACACTTGAAAGGAACGCTGTGAAAATGGCTCTGAACTACCATGTAGCGCTTAATCACATTTCACAAACTATTTCACACAGGCATGTGTCAATAAGGTTTCATTTTAGTATCCATTTATTTCGTGCGAGACATGGCCATGAATGTACGTATCTATCTGCATGCTACGTCTAATGTATACTTTTGAAATGTAATAAAATAAAAAGTATGAGTGTACCGTAGAAAAGGGGGGAATGTGGCTGAATGCATAACTCGAAGGTCCTTTATTAAGAAGTATTCAAATAAAGATAGATATTTTAAAAAACAGCTTTCCTAACATTGCATGACATCATTCGTGCCATTCATGCGCCACGCACTGCCAATTCATTGTTACAAACCATTCGAATAAACTCTCATCACCGTATCACTCGCTCACTGCAAGGAAACACATTCGTTCATGTGGAAAGGTTGTGTATTAGCCATGGCCCCGACCATAGAAATTTAGAATTTCCACCAATGGCTCAAGGAGGCTGTAAATGAGTAAGGAACTACTTTCTGAAAAGCAGTGTCTATGAAGTGAATAGTCTCCAGTGTGAGCACGTGGAATTTCCACCACTGGTTTGGGACTTCGTACAAAGGGAAGCGCTACCCGGCATGCATTTGCGAATGAGACAAGCTGACTTTTTGACTTGACCTATTTAATTAGCCCTAATCCTAGGATGGTAGAGCAATAGCATGGTTGTAAGCGCACTGTACTATACACCTAGCGACCTAAGTTTCACTCACTGCCATGGCTAACAGTAGCCGTGATATATGATCTGGTTCTGGCCCTCACTTTGACCAACTGGCACTGACGAACATGGTGAAGTATGGTCAAAAAAGCCACAATGACTGACAAAACATGGGGAAGCCTTCCTCCAGAAGTAGATTGACAAAGGGCTTCTAATGATTTTCCCATTTGAGATTCAATTCTTACGATTTCGCTTATACCGTAATTAAATTCAAGCACATTATTTGTTGCTACTGCGGTGTATGTAGCAGCCTCTAATGTTTAATCAACGAATCGAAGAATCATTACACCCAAAATTAAAGCAGCTATTACGATTTTGAATGGGTAAATTGATAAAAACATCGTAAGAGGATGGAATGCCATTGTTCAAGTTGACACGTGAAAGAGTGCCTTCAATGAGCCTGATACGGTGTTTGCATTCTCAATGTAAGGAGTACTGAGAAGATACATATTGACGAGACATTATCAGCGATCATCAGCCATCTAGCTCCTACAACTCGACACAATTTCTGCGCGTCCTCTTGGTGATGATGCCGTTCCTCCTTTGGCTTGCCATCTCTCCAACGAGGTAGTCTCCCCCCCCTCCCACCACCACCAGGGACGTAGCCTGCCCACAAGGCGGACTTCCCCTTCCCGTTCTTACCAGTCAAACAACGCTAGCACCTGCTCTGTATTCATAGGATACAAGTAAACCCGTAAAAACAAAGTTTTTCACTCTAAATCCTTTATATGCGTGGCGGCTAGAGTTCTCTCGTCCTCTGGCTTGAGATGGCTGCAATCTATGGGTCAGATGATTGTCTGCCAGTATTAAGCAATTGGTAATGAAATATTTAATTAGTTTTCCCTAAACAGTTTAAAAAATTTTGGAAAAAAAATTTCACGAAAATTAATTGTCACACACAACGAGTCTGTGTGGAAAATGTCAGCTCGATTGGATCACGGGAAGTGGGTTAACAAACGACCGAAAGATTTGCACGGTCCTAAGCAAGCAAGCAAGCACGCGAACTTAATATAAAGGATTATAAAAAAGGGACGACTGTGGGCAGCATGTAGTGCCACTCTCTACAGCCAGCGAAACCGAAGCCGGTGGGGGGGGGGGCGTCTGCCCACCACCTCGCACACACGCCGCACATTGTGCATGGCGAGGCGGCTTGCCTCTCACGTCGAGGAATGAGCCCAAATGACAAACACGTGTGTTTTGCTTCTTTGTGCCGTGCATGTACACGTGTACACATGTACACGCACATCACGTGTCCCCACGGCGCACAGTACACACACGTGCATGTACGGTACACACACGTGCATGTACGGTACACACGTGCATGTACAGTAAGCACGTGCATGTACAGTAAGCACGTGGGTGTACAGTAAGCACGTGGGTGTACAATATACACGTGCACGCACAGTACACACGTGCATGTACTGCACACACTTGCATGTACTGTACACACGTGCATGTACTTGTAAACACATGTACGCCGATCTGTATGTATAATGACAACATTGCTCATGGAAAAATGACATCGATTGCAGCCCGGCTAAAAAGCACTTCCAGGATACAGCGGCAGTAATGCACGGATGCGGCTCGGCTAAAGCAGAGAAGGTTACGACTCCTGCAAGGGCAGAGGCGTGGATGGCTGCAGAGAGGAAGAGCAAAACAATACTGTACTTCACTCCGGCCAGACGACATGACCGTGACTCTGCAGAGACATACCGGCAGTATAGAATCACCCAGGGGATTTTCTATACCTTTATCATATCTTACACGATCTCATTCCATCTGGTGCCAACCCAATGCCATTCAACCTCATTCCGATATAATCTTAGTCCAGATGCCATTTCAGTCAACTCATCGATCTAATCTCCTTTCAGTCCTATCAAATTCTAAGGCTGGTCAAATCCCATCAATTCCATCACAGTATCATGCCACTCCATTTCAGTGCCATGCTGTCATCTATCTCCCCCACATCCCAGCCTCGTGCCATTATTATCTTATGCCATTCCATTACGTTTCATTTGCACGCCATACAATCCCATGCTACTCCACTATCATCCCATCTCAATTCTATTCCATCACAGGACCATCTAATTTCATTCAACTTCAGCCCACCCATCCCCATCACATTCGACCTCAATACTGCCTCATCTGGCACCCCATCCCAACTCCATTCCTTGTCCAACACCACCAGTTCCAGCTATATCCGAACCAAATCCATCCCAAATATAATCCCTTCCAATCCTATTCCCACTCCATTCTATGCCATCCCATCGCATCACGTCCACATTACATCCCATCCCACGCCACCCTATTTCATTATTCTTTAACAAAATTTCCATTAAATCCCCAACCCAATTCCATGCAAACCCCACCCCTCACCCAGGGACCCAACCAACTCACCAACTCACCCCTGCTCCAGTCGCCACCTCACTGCAATCCAAATTCATCCCAGTCCCAATTACCTGCCACACCTCACCTCATCTACACAGCGCTACTTATCTCAACCCAGTCCCCACCTCACCGCAACTCAGTCACAATCCCAGTCTACACCTCACCTGAGCCCAACTCAGGTTCAATCCTAGCCTACACTACACCTCACCTCAGCCAACTCACCCTCCAATCCCAGTCCACACCTCACCCTCCAACCAACTCACCCCCCAATCCCAGCCTCCACCTCACCCTTCAACCAACTCACCCCCAATCCCCGCCTCCACCTCACCCCTCAACCAACTCACCCCCAATCCCAACCTCCACCTCACCCTTCAACCAACTCACCCCCAATCCCTGCCTCCACCTCACCCCTCAACCAACTCACCCCCAATCCCAACCTCCACCTCACCCTTCAACCAACTCACCCCCAATCCCTGCCTCCACCTCACCCTTCAACCAACTCACCCCCAATCCCTGCCTCCACCTCACCCCTCAACCAACTCACCCCAAATCCCAACCTCCACCTCACCCCTCAACCAACTCACCCCCCAATCCCTGCCTCCACCTCACCCCTCAACCAACTCACCCCCAATCCCTGCCTCCACCTCACCCCTCAACCAACTCACCCCCAATCCCTGCCTCCACCTCACCCTTCAACCAACTCACCCCAAATCCCCGCCTCCACCTCACCCCTCAACCAACTCCCCCCCCAATCCCTGCCTCCACCTCACCCTTCAACCAACTCACCCCCAATCCCCGCCTCCACCTCACCCCTCAACCAACTCACCCCCAATCCCTGCCTCCACCTCACCCTTCAACCAACTCACCCCCAATCCCTGCCTCCACCTCACCCCTCAACCAACTCACCCCCCAATCCCTGCCTCCACCTCACCCCTCAACCAACTCACCCCCAATCCCTGCCTCCACCTCACCCCTCAACCAACTCACCCACAATCCCTGCCTCCACCTCACCCTTCAACCAACTCACCCCCAATCCCCGCCTCCACCTCACCCCTCAACCAACTCACCCCCCAATCCCCGCCTCCACCTCACCCCTCAACCAACTCACCCCAAATCCCAACCTCCACCTCACCCCTCAACAAACTCACCCCCAATCCCTGCCTACACCTCACCCTTCAACCAACTCACCCCCCAACCTCCACCTCACCCTTCAACCAACTCACCCCCAATCCCAACCTCCACCTCACCCCTCTACCAACTCACCCCCAATCCCAACCTCCACCTCACCCTTCAACCAACTCACCCCCAATCCCAACCTCCACCTCACCCCTCAACCAACTCACCCCCAATCCCAACCTCCACCTCACCCCTCTACCAACTCACCCCCAATCCCAACCTCCACCTCACCCTTCAACCAACTCACCCCCAATCCCAACCTCCACCTCACCCTTCAACCAACTCACCCCCAATCCCAACCTCCACCTCACCCCTCAACCAACTCACCCCCAATCCCAACATCCACCTCACCCCTCAACAAACTCACCCCCCAATCCCAACGTCCACCTCACCCTCCAGCCAACTCACCCCCAATCCCAACCTCCACCTCACCCCTCAACAAACTCACCCCCCCAAATCCCAACCTCCACCTCACCACCACCAGTCTCAAGCAGAATCTCCAACTCACCTCGGCCAACCAAGAACCTCACCTCACATAACCTCCCCACCCACCACCACCACCACGCCACACTCCCCAGGGGTCACCATCACCACCATCACCACCACCATCATCACCACAACCACCACCCCCCTTACGTGCGCGGCAGCTGCATCGGCGTGGCCCCGCGTCGCTGGAACACGCCGTCCACGAAGACGCCGTTCTTGCCGAGGCACCGCAGCAGGCACGCGGGCCCCTCCAGCAGCAGCTCGAGGTGTCGCCGCGAGATGAACGTGGAGTGGCCCATGTCCACGTCCACGTCGCCCTGGCTCGAGTTGCGACCCACCGTCACCCGCCGCTGGCGGACCACGTACGCCAAGTCGCGGGCTTCCAGGCGGGCGAGGGCGGGCGGGGACGTGGACGATGTTGACGATGTTGACGACGAGGACGACGAGGAGGAGGACGAAGCGGTGGACGTGGCGGTCGAGTTTGAGGAGGTTAAGGTGGAGGAGGCTGAGCTTTGAGGCCGGCGTGTCCGGAGCAGAGTACACGGCCATCGTCAAGGCCGCGCCGGGGTCCGCCCGCGTCTCGCTCAGCTTCGTCGCCGCCATCGCCTGCGATGGTGGTGGTGGAAACGTGTCCGGGGGGGAGTGGTGCTTAGTATTCTGCTGCTGCTGTTGTTGTTGTCTCGGCTCTTTGTTATTGTTATTTGCTGCTGCTGCTGCTTGCTGCTGCCGGCGGTGTGCTGCTGGCCTCGTCGCGTGCGTTTGTTTATTTATTTATTTTCGTGTTCGGCTTCTGCAGAGCGGCGGCGGCGGTGTGGGCGGGGCGTGGGGGGGGGGCGTGTGGAGGGGCGGGGCGTGTGGGGGGCGGGGCGTGTGGGGGGGGCGGGGCGCTTTGGCGAGACCCGGAGCGGATTGTCCGTGTAAACGCGGACTGGATGTGGATGTTTGAGTCCGTGGTCGCTTCTAGATTTGAAGCTTTCGTGACTGCAAGGATTCATATTCTTAGGTTTTTTCGGTAAAGTCACGTAGGTAAAAACTAAAATTAATAAAAGTAAAATTAAATATAAAAATAACAACACAAGCTTCCGTCTTCAGGTGGAACTGAAAACGGAAGCTTGTGTTGCCTCCAAAACGTCGTGATTTTTATTATTTTATTTTTATATTTTATTTTACTTTTATTAATTTTAATTTTTTACCTACGTGACTTTACCGAAAAAACCTAAGAATATGAATCCGTGGTCGCTGTTAATCAAAAATACAAATGCAATACTCTTTTTAGTCGTCTAGCATTTATCATAATATAGGGGGGTGGTTTGTTTGAGTGAGATCGCTTAAATATAAATGTGTGTCGTTAAACCCGTCGCCACCACCAAACACAGCCAATTAGTAAGGTTTGTCACGTAAACAGAAGATGCCAATTCGTTACTAGTCCAGCACACCGGTGTGTTGGAGAGCAAATCCACAACATTTACAATCTGAGTACGACGTTTCGCCAGTAATTACAACAAGCATTATCAGGCAGACAGCCATATTTGTGGAGATATCCTCCGACTGTCCTGATGATGCTCATTATAATTACTAGCGAAACGTCGTACTTAGATTGTAAATGTTGTGGATTTGCTCTCCTACACACCGGTGTTGCTGTACTAGTATAACGAATAGACACGCTCTGTTTACGTGACAAACATTACTAATTGGCTGTGTCGGGTGGTGGCGGGTTTAACGACACACATTTATATTGACGCGATCTAACCCAAAAAAACCTAGATTATGGATAATATTGGTGGCGAAAGCCTAAGTGTTAAACCGTGCACCATTTCTTTCGAACTTGCTGTTGTGTTTCATTTTGTTGTCCTTCCAGCCGCACCTCCCGTATAGCGCGGTTGGCTACGTGTTTGTATTCTCACCGGCCGAACTGTCTCCCAGCACGCCACTTTCCTTTATCGAAATGACACTCGGGATATCGCTCTTTGAAGTAAACATGAGCCAGGATAATTGACTGATGAACTTCCTTCAGGAGAGAAAAAATTATATCCGTGAGATAATTAAAAGTGCATGCCTCCGCGTAGCTGTATGCAAGGAAAGTTATCTCCCTACTAAAACTTGCAGAGAGCAGTAACAAAAATGCCCATTGGAGGCCCTAAGTCAGTAGTGGAAATTCCACATTCCTTTGGAAACAGCCACTGTTGACTTCCTGTATACTGTAATAGTACTGAGTTTGTGTTTAGTTTGTTGTCCTGCGCCCCGCACCTCCCATTAGCGCGGTTGGCTACGTACGGTGCGAAAGAAATTCAACATACGTACATAAAGGAAGCCAATGTTTCGCAGTGTCGATTTATTTAAACGACGAATGAGAGTGAATTATTTCGTAACCCACTCATTCCAAATGGTTATCACGAAATTCACTTGTTGGCCACGTAAATAAATTGGAACCACTCGAGTGATACCATCTCAGGTGTTAGCTCACTCGTGATGTCTGCTCTGTACTTCCATGGGATATGTGTGGCCTTGACGGATGTGTCGAGTTTTTTGCAAGTATTGCAATTAGCGCTGTCCACATCACATGTAGACCACTCACGTGCACACACATCTTAATTGGCATAATAAATACCGAGCTTGGCTACGCACGTTAGAGCGTTGGCCATTTGTACAATTTCGTGCGCGTTACACATTTCATTACAGTATTATTATCACTAAGGATGTGTTTACCAACCCTCGGACACTTGCAGCGTGTAACAGAGCCATCTATAGTTTGAATGGAGAAGATTGGTAAACGTGGGAAGGGTGGACAATGGTGGGTCACGGGCCATGGAACTGAAACAGGACTGAAACAGAGGTCACTCCATTGCAGCAATGAACTGAATATCTAAATATAAAAACGGTGCTAAAAAAAACAGAATGTTGCATTTACGAGGTTCGTTGGGCGTGCGTATGCGTATTCATGCCGCCACGTTTGATTAATGGCAGTGACAGGTAAGCCTCAGGGCTGACACCTCTATTCTTACCCAGGCTGGGTGGGACAGTCTTGTCTGTGACCTCTAATTCTGAAGCAGGTTGGAGTCGCGGTGGCTGACGACTGAGACCCCATTGTAAACTTCGGATCAGGGCTAATATTTCGCCGGGTCTGAACATGTCGATGACCCGGGAATATTACTGCATCCAGCACACCTCTTGATATGGCTGTGGCTACTTATTCAAACCTACCACCTACACCAGTCTACCGGTGACAGAGGACATATTCCGAAATTAAGCCCTGCCTACTATCTGTGACTTATCATTATTATCCGGGCTGGAATTGCAGTGGCTGATGAGAAGACCCCATTCTAAGTCTGGGTGATACAGTACTGTCTGTGACCTCTATTTCCGATCCTACTACAACGAGATGCTACATTTAGATACTTGGCCAATTCCATTAATGATCGACCGAAAGCAACGTTTGTGTCACTCCATCAGGCTGTTGGCCTTCCAGACCATCGTTTAAATGCGGCAATTTCTAGAAGCTTGCAAAATCCGTATCGATGTCGAACATCCTGGATCCAATCTCTAACAGTCGTCAGTTTAACACGTAGGCTTTCCCGACCAATATCCATAACACAAGTTTTTTTGGGGGGGTTAGATACGCGATCTTACCCAAAAAAACCTGTATTATAGATAACATAGTCGTGTTAAGGCAGTTTTGACACATCTTCTGAAATGCCCTGTGAAAGTTCGAATCCGGTTCCGTTGATCCTGCGAAATCCACTGCAGGCTTTTGGCTGCAGCCTGCGAACATGTTCGGGCAGCATAGGGCTGAGCGCACGTGGTGGCTGGCGGGGGAGCGACAACACAGCACAGGCGCGCCACGCCGCGCCCATTCGACCCTCACGCCTACTCCCCCACGCCCATTGTCACCTTGGCACGCATCCGTCCTCTCTATTGCATTTCCTCGCGCATTCTCATCGCGTCCTCCCAGGAGACTCCACAGACCAAGCAAGGGTTCACATGCAAATCGCCCGGAATGGGCCGGATCTCGGAAGCTAAGCCGTTTTAAGCCTCGATAGTGCTGGGCGGAAAATCAGTGTGATGGTGGCCGATGGTCGAGACTTAACAACGCAGTGTCAAAGGACGATATACGAACAGGAGTACACCCGCCAAGGAGATGGAACGATGAAATTGTCTCGTGTGCAGATGCTAAATGGAGTGTTACATTGAAGGACCGTGAGAGATGGCGAAGACTTGGGGTAGCTTTCATCCAGCAGTGAGTTTATCACGGCTGATGATGGCTTACTAGGAGTGTAACGATGCCCTGAATCATCGATTAAAAACAATTATGAAACTCAAATGACCCCTCCAGCCACTAGAGGCTGTATACATTCACCCTAATGTAAACAACATTTTGAATCGAAGGGCGGCCTTAAATCGTGGCGAATTGAATCCCCGGGGCAAGACATTTGCTTTCACTTCTAGTACCGTGCATTCACTTTCTAACATCTGTCAAACATTTGACATTTGCTTGGCAGTTATACACACCACCCGAATGTACAGAACATGTAAGCATGACGGGGTTTTTGTTGTTGCAATAGCTAATGTTTATGTTGGTGAATACGCATGGTATGAATCAGTGGCGGCTGGTGATATTTATTTTTGGGGGGGCGCATTTTTTAAATTTTATTGAGGGGGGCAAATAAATATAAAGCAGTACCAAAAGCCATTTTGACTACTTGAATATAAATTTTGATGATCTTTATTTACATTTCAGACCAAAAGAAGTACCAAAAAGCATGTTTCCTACTTGAACATAAATGTTTCTCTTTTATATACATTTCACACCAAAGTACCAAAAAGCATGTTTCCTACTTGAACATAAATGTTTCTCTTTTATATACATTTCAGACCAAAGTACCAAAAAGCATGTTTCCTACTTGAACATAAAAACGTTAGTTTCATGCTATTATCAATATGGCTGCGGCTACTTTCATGACGTTTGCATTTGTCAGAGAGATGTTTGAGGTCTCTTACCCCCGTCGTTGTCCACAAAACTTCAGTGCCGACACTTTGAAATAAAAGACAGGGAAAACAAAAAAGAGAATTGCTAACATCACATCCAGCCAGCCACCTCCGTTTCTCATAACAAGCGCGGGTGAAGCTTCGTGTGTAGCTTCGTCCTCTGTCACTGGCCTGCTGCTGGATTTGTAAATCGGGTTGGTCCGGTCCGAGATCCTTTATCTTTTTTATTTCTTCCAGCGAAAGCCTTGTGAAAGGGTTTTTTTGTAAATAAATTACAGAATTTGGATGAACTGCTGCCATTGTTTACACAAAAAATTTGATCAGCCTAGCAAGTGTCAAAGTGGTGTCGCCTTCGCACTCGCAGTAGTGGCCTACAGCGTAAATTTGAATGACAGGTGACGAGAACCAATCAGATTGGATAAAATAACATGTATCCAATTCTGATTGGCCAGGGACGCAACGACTTGCGCCCCGAGGAGAATCTTTAAGAAACCAATTAGAGACCAGCTTCAGGTCACATGCTGTCCGAAAATGTAAAGTCTCACATAGACATCCATTTGTCCGGCGCCCCGCATAAAACACATTGAAAAACATAGAAAATAGTTGACCGATTAAAGCCAGTTTTTATTAAATGCTGATGCTTTTCTTACTACCAGCCGGCACATCGTATGAAAAAAATATTTTATTTATGTATTTTTATATAAATTTTGTATATGTATATTTCTGGAATATTGATGGGGGCGGCGCCCCTGCGCCCTCTATTGAC